CCCCAAAACCCCAAAACCCCGTAAACCTTTATATTTCATTTATTAGTTGAATGAATAGTTGTATTTTAAAATATTGGTTAAATTAATGGAGAAAAAAGAATAGAGCTTAGAGAAGAATATTAACATAATCAACTTATTTTAATCATTTGACTCTGAATTAGATAAAGAATTCGCTGGGTAAATCAATTATATTCATTGTAAAATTTAGATTAGATTTATCGGGTATTGTATCATACGAGGATGTTAAAGTATATACAGATCAATGGGAAAGTTTATCACTCAAATCATAATTAAAACTAATCAATTCAGCTCAAAATCTAAGCACTAAAATCAAGGAAACTGATTAGGATGGCTATTTTAGACTTTAGTTATTTCTCTCAAACTTTTTTATGACTGCTTTACAATATGATAGATCACTTAACAGCATTTAATAGCTAAAATTGATAAATAAATAGGTGCTTCATTCAGCTTATGAAGTGGAAATTAAACTTTAATTAGCTAAGATATATCAACTGAAAGCTGAAAGACCTAAAGCACTAAAGTATTTGTATTAAGCTGATCAACTTATTAAGCATTTCCATCCAGATGATATGCGAATGAGATAAAAGTATTAAGATATACTGATTGACTTGAATCTGCAGAATAAGGAGCTAATATTTGCTCATTAGCTATTGTTTAAGGAAATTATATTTGAAAGATAAAATAGCCTAGATGTGAAGCTAAGACTTGTAAAGATCCTACTTTATCTTGAGGATTATGTTGAATGTGAAATCTCAATCAATGATATATTAGAAAGGATATCACAGGGAGAAAAATTTAAGAAATCGATTCAAATTACAGAATTCTTAAACGTCATTATCTATCTCCTACTAAAACTTGAAAAGTATGATCAGATTTCAGAAATAGTCGATAATATACAAGAGTATATCTTATTATAAGAAGAAAAAAAGAATTTGTTCTATTAAAATTTTAACCCCATTCATTTATGCTCAATCTTGAATTATCTCAAAACAGTTTATGGAATTTAAGTTAATGAGTAAGTCTAGGGAGATTTGGAAAGCTAAAAGCTTATCATTATAACTTCTATTCATCAGAATTGGATTTGTGACTAGTAGTATCTAAATTCATTTGATTATGTAATTTGCGAAAGCGATCAAAGCTCCAATGAAATGGGAATAATGAATTTACAGTTTGTCCAATTACTAATGGATTCACTCATTTATGAAAGAGTATTCTAGGCTACAAGTCCTGCTAATTATGAAGTTATGTTTGGAAAGATTATAATGCTTTTGCGTACGGCTCCAATTGACAAGTCAGTGTTTTTGCTCAATAGCATTGAAAATGAATTTTGATAAAATTAGATTAATTACCTCCTAAAAATATTTATCTCTAATTCTTGGGGTTTTGGGGTTTTGGGGTTTTGGGG